CCTTCTGAAATGTTAAACCCATACAAATGACTTTTGCTAAAATTTATCTTTAATCCTGAAATCAATTCAAACCAATGCAAAATGGCTTTCACAACCTTTAAATTCCTTGCACACGCCTTTCCCATAAAGACAGTATCATCTGCAAACTGCAATAATGACAACACCATACCACCCCTCCTAATTTCCAGACCTTTCAACAACCCTTCACATCTGCTTTTTTCACCAGCCCACACAACCCTTCACCCACTAATAAAAACAGAAAATGGGATAAAGGATCCCCTTAACGAAGACCTTTGCTAACTGAAAATTCCGACGTCGAACTTCCGTTTAGTAAAATAGAAATCCTGGCTGTTGAAAGACATTCCCGAATCCACTTCCTCCATTTAACCCCAAACCCCATTTTGTCCATCATCCAATCAAGAAAATCCCAATCCACACAATCATATGCGCTTTTTCAAAATCAGCCTTAAATATAAAGCTCTCCTGTTTCTTTTTATTCACCTCATATACCACCTCATTCAAAACTAACACACTGTCCACCAACTGACGACCCCCAACAAAAGCTGATTGTGACTCACTTATAATATCTGCCATAACCCTCCTCAACCTAGTTGCTAAAACTTTCGCCAATAATTTATACAGACAACCAATCAGACAAATAGGCCTATACTCTTTAAATTGCACTGGATTCAATTGTTTAGGGATTAATGCCAAGAAAGAGGAGTTTAGACCTTTAACTAACCTCCCATGTTGATGAAATTCCAGCAAAAACTTCACAAAATCATCCTTCAGCGTGTTCCAAGCAAACTTTATAAAATTGAAGTTGTATCCATCTGGGCCTGGCGCCTTTGACTCATCACAACTTCGAAGACCCTCTTCAATTTCCTCTATGGAAAAAGGTCTTTCTAGCCACTCCTTTTGTGCTACAGAGATTTTACGAAATTGGATCCTTTCCATTACAGGCTGACTCCACTGCTCCTTGTAGAATAACTTACTAAAATATTTAACTGCCTCTGCCTTAATTAACTCAGGTTCCTCAATCCATCCCTCCTCTCCTAAGATACCATCTATTGCATTCTGTGCCCTCCTTGTCTGCACACATCTGTGGAAAAAAGCTGTATTTGCATCACCCAAACGAACCCAATTGTTCCTTTATTTTTCCTTCCACATAGCTTCTTTCCTTCGGAAAATGTCCCACATCTCCTGAAAGCATTCCTTTCTCAATAGCACCTCATTTTCGCTCAGCTCCTCTTCTTCACTTTTTTTATCCAACCTCTGAATATGCTTTAACCTTGTATCCAGCTGAGTCTCCACATTACCAAAAACCCCTCTATTCCACCCCTTGCAGTCCTCTTTTATTAATTTCAGCTTCTGTTTACATTGGAAAGCTGCCCATCCTTCAATCTGCAAAGTCTTCCATTTATCCTCCACAAAACATTTAAAATCAGGGTGTTGTTGCCATGCGTCAAGTACTCGAAAAGGCTTGGGACCCCAATCTATATTTCTTGACGTCAAAATAACTGCACAATGATATGAAATTGATATTCGAACCCCAACTTGAAACCAATCTCTATCCAATAAACTCATTTCTGTGGATAACAAAAACCTATCCAACCTACTCATTGAAGAGCCATCGGGTTTGTACCAGGTGAATTTCCTGTTCCTCAATCTAACATCAATTAATCCACACCCCTCTACAAATTGATTAAAATCTCCCATGTCCTGTGTCCCTCCTAGTCTCCCCTTCCTCTCTGCCCCATTCCTTATTGCGTTAAAATCCCCTACTAAAAGCCATCTACCGCCCTCTTCCAAAACTAACTTACCCATCTCCGCCCACAACATAGCCTTCCTCTGCCTATCACAAGGAGCATACACATTAACAAGGTTACATTTCAACCGCTGCTTTCCCCACTCCCCTGAAATCCCTATAAAACCATTTCCTTCTATCACCCTTTCTTTAACAAAATTGCTCTTATTCCATATAGACAGCAAACCTCCCGAATTGCCCACTGATTTTTGCATAATCCAGTCAAAATCCTTAGAATACCACAACTTTCTACACATAGAAACCTCAACTCCCTCTAATTTTGTTTCCTGAATAAATAGAAAATCTGACTTCTCCTTACTCACCAATTTAAAAATCTCCTTTCTCTTAATCACACTACCCAAACCCCTAACATTAAAAGAAATCACCTTCATTAATAAAACCCATATACTCACATACCTCCAACAACCCAATCCCGACGCATCAGGCACATCCGAAGGTGACTCCATCCCTCTCCTCTAAAGCCTCCAACCTAGAGATCACCTCTTCCTCATTTTGTTGACATTGAATCCCCAAATTCTGCCCCATCAGAAACAGCTCTCTGACTTCATCCATCTGCAGCTGCTTTCCAATCACCTCATTCTGGCGTCGGATGCACCCATCGGACAGAGAACAACTTTCCATCTGCGATTCCTCCCCTCGCACATCTGTGCCCCTTCTATTTCTGCGAGCTTTTGTCCTTGCCGTGACCCAGCTGGTGCCAGCTTTCCTAGGTTTCTCCATCCCACTAACCTCAGCATAAATCGTTCCCAAGCTTCTGCGTTTCTTCTCTGTCCAGTCCAGTCGAGTTGACTGCACATAATGAGCCTCAAGCCCAATTTCGGACCCATCTTCTACACTTCGTTCCTGAGACTGTGGCTCCACTTCTCCACCTTTATGTGGCCCATTAAAGTTACCTCCACTCGGCCCAAATGTCTCCAGCCCATTTAATTCCATATTCTCGCCTGAAACTTCCTCATTTAAAGCTATGTCTTTTTGTAACAAAAAATTTGAAACCATTTCCGTTGCAACGCGTTCTTCAGCCATCACTGCCCCATCCTCGCTTGGAAATCCGTTTTCATTGAAAGCTGATTCACTGAATCCATCATCAAAATATTCTGAGTCAGATTCTATCATCGGATTCCGTCATTCCCCAGCCAACCACCAATCCGGGTCCATCCTCCACTCCTCTTCCTGCACTGTTATCGGGAAAGCCTTGCCGTCAACCTACAGAGCTATTGAGGTCGATATCTTACTCTTTTCCTCACTTAAGATCAACACCCTTCCTTCACACAAAAAGGACTTACTCCTCGTATCCTCATCAACTAATATCACCTCTCCAATTAATCCACCTAATTCTGTGAAGCATCTCTCGCTCCATGCCTTTAATGGAACACCCGTGAACCGAAGCCATACCAATCTACTCACCAGAGATATCGTGGATAAAGACATTGGTTGAATCCATTCAAACCACGACTCCATTAATTCGCTGTTATAACTAATAAACTCCTCAAGGCATCCTTCTAAATAATCAACTAAAATGACATGGTGACCACCAAGCAAAGCCACATTTACCAATAAACCATCTACATCCAACCTGTTCTGAATTTTCTTCACCATATCTAAAGATCTAACCATCACCACCATACTTCATTTCAACCATGCTACTTCCTCATCATTAGGAGTGAATTCTAATACCAAATCTGTTTTTGGAGAAGACCTTTCCTCCACCCTACCTTCGCTTGTCAATGGCACAGTACTCCTTTCTGAAATTGTCTCCAGAACCACATCCACTACAGGTTCCATCCCTTTTGTTATCTCAACCTGCCTGACATCATTATTCGAAGACACCCCTTCCTCGGATGCAACCACATTGCCAGCAACCACCTGAGCATACGTCCTCCCTAGAGTCACCTTACTCTCTCTTCTAATCCATTTTTTCTCAAACTGCCTATTCGGATTCGTCGCTGCCACCCCCCACTCTCTTTTCATGTTCCCTGCCAATTTCACCTTGAGATGATAAGATCCAAGCCAGATCTGATTTAATTTCTGTTCCATATCCTTTACTTCTGAGACCTCTGACATACAAACGAAACCAAAATGACGCCCTCTCCAATCTCGCCTCGCCAGAATAAACACATCTGCCACCTTCCCAAATGACCAAAAGCAAAACCACATATCCTTCACTGAGCGATCTGCTGGAAAATCATAGAAGAAATACGTAGTTACCTGCACTAGAAACTGCCTGCCATACCCTGGAAGCTGCCACTTGGTCCCACTACCATTGTCCTTGGCTGCCGGAAAACGTACCTTAACCCTAGCACTCCCCCTCTCCATCAGTGCATTTGCTGGAGCCTTGTGAATGCTAATTAATTAATTACACCATGGATATTAATTTACTGCAAATCACTTATGTAAAATTAAGTGAAATAAAAATTTCTATTATTTTTCTATATCATAAAATTTTACACGATACTCACAATTAAACAACCAAATATATCTACACAAACAATATCTATTTCACAATTTTATTTAATCAATATTAATTTTTATTAATTTTCTCAAAAATACAAAAAAAAAATTCAAGATAAATTCAAAATAATGAAAAACAAAATTGACTTAAGGTGTAGATTGAAGATGAATGATGGTGAGGATGACCTTAGATGACAAGATTTATAAATTACTTATGTAAAAATAAGTAAAATACAAAATTCTATTATTTTTCATATATCACAATATTTTTCACCATACTTACAATTAAACAACCAAATATATCTACACAAACAATATTTATTTTACAATTTTATTTAATCAATATTAAATTTTACTAAGTATCTCAAAAATACAAAAAATTCAAGATAAATTTGAAATAATGAAAAAAAAAAGGGGAAAAAAACTCACTTAGGGTGTAGATTGGAGATGAATGATGGTGAGGATGATCTTAGATGGCAAGATCCGAGCAAAAAAAGTTGGATTTCAAGAAAAAATTTGTGAAAATGCTGAAAATAAAAATAAATAAATAAAGAGATTGATTTTCAACATCTAATCGGCCAAAAAATAACCCTTACCTTTGTAACTGGTCAGTAGATGATGGAGGTGATCTCTAATGGAGCAAAGGATGAAAAATGACATGAAAACGAAGGAAGGAATGGAGGAAGAACAAGGTTCTATAAAGAGATCTGCAAACCCTTATATGGACCGAAAATGGTCTGAAGTTGGTCCGAAAAAAGCCAAAAAGCTACTCAATGTCATCTCAACCAGATTTACGTTGGAGATAGCTTTCCAAACCACAACCAATCTGGATATTTACAATTATCCAAACTAGAGCTGGTCTAGAAAATTGTGGAACAAATAATGACTTGAAACGATTTTTTCAGACCAATTTTGGTCTAGGAATATCCAAAATATATATATATATATATTACATATTATTTTGGGCAAAATTTTCTAGACTAATTTTTTCCAAACCAATTTCGATATGAAAATATTCAAAATTTTCTTTTCCCACCCAAACTAAGTTAATTAAAAAGAATTCTTTTGTAATTTAATTTTTAATGAAAGTATTTGGATCATTACTTGTCTAAAAAAGTTTAGCATGTTTATACTATTATTGGCACCAACAACCACTACTAAAAATTTAACTTTTTTCAATCAATTATTTTTCAGCGCAATTTACACTGGGCGCTTGGCGTTGGAAATTAAAAATCTGTATAAAATATCTAAAATCCATAAATAATTTTTAAGTAAAACTCATTTTCCAGCGCAGTGCGTTGGAAAATAATGTTTTTAGTCTTACTGTTGACAAGAAAAATTTTCAAAAATCAAAAAAAATATTTTTCACGTTTTTTTCCAACACAACACATTGGAAAATGTTTAGAATTGTCAAAGTTAAATGGTAGAAATGGGTGCAGTTTATTTTCTAGTGCATTGCATTGGAAAATACACCTGTGTATTTAGTTCAGCTTATTTTCTAGCGCACTGCGCTAAAAAATAATAGTGTTTATTTGGTGCAAATTATTTTCTAGTGCAATGCACTGGAAAATAGTAGTGCCCATTTGATTCAGATTATTTTCTAGTGCATTGCACTGGAAAATTGGCCTGTGTATTTGGTCAAGTTATTTTCCAGTGGAATGCGTTGGAAAATAAGTTTATCTGAAATTTAAAGTTTAACGTTCAAGCACTATTTTTTCCTTATAAAATTTTCAAAATTACACCCACATTATTTTCCAATGTAATGCATTGGAAAATGAGTTTATCTAAAATTTAAAATCCAACATTCAAGCGTCATTTTTTCCTTGTAAAATTTTCAAAATCCAGCCCACATTATTTTTCAGCACAATATAATACTTATCTATATAAACCTTCCCTTAGCATTTTCT